CTAGACTCTGCTACATTGGACTGTGCCCATAGCTTCAGGGTAGTCCAGTTAGGGGGCAGAGAGACTTCTGTTGGTGTCTCAAGTCTGTTTCTCAAGCTGCCAGTTAAGAAGAGATGTATACAGAAAGGGGTGTCTTTGGGTTCCTCCAGATTTGGGACACACTTTTGAAACAGTATTTTTCAAAGTGTGTTGTTATCAGCTCACTTGTCTGCCTCCCCACTGAATTAGGAGCTTCAGGGCGGCAGGGACTGTGTCTTCCTCACTTTTTTTCCATTTTTTTTTTTATTGTGGTAAAATACACATACAACTTATCATCTTCACCACCTTTAAGTGTGTATTAAGGACATCCATACCGTGCAACCATGAGCACCATCCATCTCCAGAACTCTTTTCATCTTGTAAAAGTGAAATTCAGTCCCCATTAAACAATCCCCCCATCCTCCTCACCCCCAGCCCCTGGTTACCACCGTTCTAGTTTCTGTCACTATAACTGTAACCACTCTGAGTACCTCATCTTAGAAGTGGAGTCATACAGAATTTGTCTGTCTGTGACTAGCTTCCTTCACTTCTCATCACGTCCTCAAGGTCTACCCGTGTTGTAGCAGGTGTCAGAACTTCCTTAAAGTACTGTAAGAAAGAGACATACTGTTTGAAGCCGCCAAGAGTATCCAGTTTTTTGTTACCCCACCATAACAAAGGCTGTCCTGACTAGTACAGCAATAAATGCCCGAAAGAATATGAACTTCTCTAGCACAATGCCTAATGGCAGTTTGTCATAAACCTTTGTAGAAGTAGCATGTGGACATCTTGGTTTCTCAGCTAGGACCCCATAGGTTCGTGTGCCCTTTTTTCAAGGATGTTTACCCGGGAAGTACAAGGTGATCACAACGTATGATGAGCTATAGTATTATGACAAAACCACAAGTTACTTAAATCCAGTACATCTGAGATGTGATGGGTTTTGAGTCTGATAAAAGATTGATTTGGTGGATATCTGTGAGGAGAAGCTACATTAGGGCAAATGGCTCCTGCAAAGGGTTGGAGGAAGGTCCTCCTTCACTTCAGGCCCCTAGTGCTCACTTAGCTCCACCCTACCCACAGTCCCTTCTCCTCTCTCACTCTATAGGCCAGTTCATAATGCCTGCACTCTGCGCTCAGCCAGTTTTAGAAACTATTAGTTACAGTAGGCATGAATTTTTCTCCACAAACCCACAGGTACAGAAAAGATTACTTATTTCTATAAATCAAATTAACTGGTTCTCAGCTCCCACTCACTTCTGGGGGAAAATATTCTATTTCAGCCATCGTGGGGGTAGCCATCCTTTTCTCTAGACTTGAACGTGAATTCAGGGAACTTAGTGCGGCTTCCGGTGAAGAGCAGAAGAGTCTCTGGTTCCTATGATCAGTGATGGGAAGTTCATCGTCTAAGCTGACAAACGGTAGGCAGCTCCATCCTTCTACACTAATCATGGGGACACTTCTCCAGAACCTCAAGGTCATGACTGTCTCCAACCTCCATGCATTTGATCCCCCCAGAACTTGTGGAGAAGCTGCATGGAAGCAGGGGGCAGGTCTATGTCACTAAAAGAATAAAACAGCCACCCCCATTCTCACCTCAGGGAAGGGCTATTCCTGCCTCCTGGCTTCTTCTAGGGGAAGGAACAGGAGCTTACCTATCACACACAATGACGTGTCTTAAAAGGAGAGCGCTGGCAATGGGTGCCAAGTCTTGGCATTCTCAGGCTTGCAGGGGAAAATTCCAGTGAATCCACCTGAGGCTGATTAGAACCCCTTAGCTGACAATTAGGAAGTATGCCTCCCAAGGCCCCAGGCCTGGACTTTCCCCATGAGTGCTCTGCCTAAGACTCTACTGGAAAGGTCTATCAGCCTCCCCAATTCTCAACTGTCAGAGAGTCCCTGGAGTGAACCCAGTCCCAGGAGGATTTTATTCCCAGCCTCCTCAACTCAAAGTCCTTGCTTGAACTTGAGAGTGGGACGTGGGTCTTTGGGGCCAGTACCAGTTGCTGATTTCTCCTACTCCAACCGTGGCTCCAGCTGCAGGGAATGAAAGCCCTTAGCTTATGCCGGCCAAGCCCAAGAGTCCACCAGAGGAGTGCCAACCCTGACATAAATGAGGATTACCACACCCACCAGTGGGCAGGTCCGGGATTCACCTAGAGCCCCAAGCCCCAGGCCCCATCTGTCTGGGGAAAACCTTAGTCCCATGGCTGGGAGTCCTTGAAAGAGAGGCAGAGAGTTCGTGACTTGCACTAATTTCTCCACAGAGCCTGGAGGAGCCCCCTGACACTGATCTCTTGTCTGCGCCCTTCCAACCATACCTGGCCTCATCTAACCTCCTCGGGGAGCTAGATCATTCTGTGGCTTGCCTTTCCCTACCTCAACCAGGACCTGGTGGTTTGCATCAATCCAGATGGGCCACTCTGGAACCACACCCGCTATCTACTGGCCACACAAATTGTCATGTCACAGAGAGGCCTGTCCCTAGACCCCACCAAGGGTCTGTATTTAAAAAACAACTGCAGGGGGCGGCTGGGTGGCTCAGTCGTTAAGCGTCTGCCTTCGGCTCAGGTCATGATCCCAGGGTCCTGGGATCGAGCCCCACATTGGGCTCCCTGCTCTGCAGAAGCCTGCTTCCCCCTCTCCCACTCCCCCTGCTTGTGTTCCCTCTCTCGCTGTTTTTCTCTATAAAATAAATAAAATCTTTTTAAAAAATTAAAAAAAAATACAACTGCAGGGTGCCTGGGTGGCTCAGATGGTTAAGCGTCTGCCTTCGGCTCAGGTCATGATCCCAGGGTCCTGGGATCGAGTCCCACATCGGGCTCCCTGCTCAGCGCAGAGCCTGCTTCTCCCTCTCCCTCTGCCATTCCCTCTGCTTGTGCTCTTCTCTCTGTCAAATAAATAAATAAAATCTTAAAAAATAAAAAACAACTGCAGAACTAGGTCTTGTTGTTTTTATTGCTAGTTTCTCCTCCGGTTGGTGAAGATTTTTTTAAAATGCCAGGCTTGCCTCTGCTACAATCCAGATGGGCCACTCTGGAACCACACCTGCTATCTACTGGCCACACAAATTGTCATGTCTGCTACACCCAACAAAGCCAGTCTTATCCCGACCCTTGAGACACAACCTGTGTGCAGATGACCAAGAACGGTCAGTGGTAGCCATGACTGCCCCCCTCCCCGAAAGGGACATAGTAGCCAGGAAGGTCAGGACCCAGCAGATATGGAAAGATCCCCTTCCTGCCATCACTGAGCCACCAGTGAACTTGCAGGACTGCCGGGAAAGGGAGGATGCCTGAGAAAGGAAGTGAGTCAGCCTCCTGCTGGGTTAGGGCCAGTGGAGTGCTGGAGTTCACTTGGCTTGTAAGAGTCAACAGCCAGCACCCCTCTCTGGCTCTTTCAGTAAGACCATGTGGGTAGCAGCAGACCACCGGTTAGGGGCAAGCCAAGAGTCACATTGTATGGACCAGGGGCCAGAGCCAAAAACAGAGGAGAATTGAAGAGTGAGGGCCAGAAATTGTGCCATCTTTGGAGTCAGGGGATAAACACAAACACAAGACCCAACCCTCCCCCTCCCCGTGGCTGCTTTAACGTGTGAAGCCAGGCAGGTCTCTGGCTGCCAGAATCCTTACAATTCTCCCTGCAGGAACCCTGCACCCTTCTTTAGCTCCCTTATCCACAGACAGATCTTCTCCGTTCTCACACACCTTCACAGGTAAAAGATCATGCAGTCAGTCATTCACACTATTTCTTAGGGAGTTGGCTTTTTATTCCTGTGCTATCCACTCACTTTGGAGGCTTGAACTTCACACCAACCAAAAGGTGGCTCTTTTTCCTTCATGCCTATCTCCCTCTTCCTCAATTTTTCCTACATTTCTCGTTTTCCTCCAACCAGAGCCACTGTCCAAGGACCAAATGCCCCAAATCCACTGTGATCTGGTCCCTTTCCTCTTCACAGAGACCCCAGGCCCCTCTGACATCTCCTCACCTCTCTTCCTCCCCCAAAATGGAACAAACCCGTAACCTCAAGAGAACAAAGTGAGGATAAACACAAGACTTCCTCCATTCTCATATAGGACTAAGAAGGTCACTAAGCTTAGGCACATCTGAGGATCACAAAAATCACAGGCCCGGCCTCCCAAAACCTGGACACCAGCAGCTAAGATCTGGCCAGAGATGACCCAGGACAGGATGTCTGTGTGAGCCAATGATCCTCCTCCCACAGAATGGGGCTTATAGTGATTGCATGTGTCATGGTTATCATATGGTTCAGCTATAGGATTATGGCATCATAGGTCAGTTTTTACAGTAACAACATCTACTGGTATAGATAGTGCTTTATTGTTTACATGTTTTCCCATTCAATCCTCGCAGCAACCCTGAGGTAGGTATTACTATCCCCACTTTACAGATGAGTAAACCAGTGTTCCTACTTAGATTACTTGCTGAAAATCATACACATATTAGTGGCAGAGCCACTGGTAATTCCAAGCCCAAGGGGACTCTTTTGAATAGTTCACAGGCTGCTGCCAAGGAAAGTAGAGCTGAAAACTTCAACTTGGAAGGGCTGGATCATTCACTGGAGCCCAAGGGGGTCCCTTACCAGGGATGAACGAGGCACATACACAGGGCAAGACCAGAACTGAGCAGGAGACTCCTAGAGCATCTGGGAGCTGTGAAGCAGGAAGAGGTCTTTATGTTTGGTGGGAGTTGATAGCATCTTCAAATACACGCAGAGCCCAGCTTCCAGAGACCAGAGAAACAAGAGGGCATCCAGCGGCTGTGAGTCCAGGGGCTGACCACAGGGAACGGATAGTGGGGCAGGAAAAACTGCCGTGAGTGGCACTCCCTCAGCGTGACCACTGGGTGGCGACCTCGAGGCATGGTCCTTTAGCTTTGTTAAGGCCTTGAGAAGCTGATGAAAGCCATACCCACCCCCCCCACCCCCCCATAAAAATACAGACACACATGTACAGACAACATTTTGCATCGATTTCAGGGAGTCCATGGACCCCAAGTGGAGAACTTCTGACTTAGGGCAAGGGTGTCAACCTGAGTAAAGTCACTGATACAAACCTATTTTTATGCAACTTGTATTTCCTATGACTGTTCCCCTTTTGTTGTCCCTTAATACTTAGAATGTTGTGAAGTTTTTTTAACGGGAGCCGAAGAAGGGGGTCCAGCCTATACTCCAGCCAGAGAAAGAACAGCTGTATGTGGCAGTGGTGGCAGCCGGGAGGCAAAAACAAAGAAAATGATGGGGTCATGTGTACCATTGTCCCTCCCACCCAAAAGGTCACTTTGGGAGTTTTTCCTCTACTCAAGAGAAGGGTTGTGGGAGGTGATGGGGACGGGGTGGTGGTTTGTTTCCTTTTAGAAAGGAAAACCATTCCTTCACTGGCTACAGGGTCTGAAGTGCTGCAGGCAATGCCTCATTCCCATCTTCCCCCACCTGACCCCCCCAGTGGTACACCCGAGCACCGGGCCCGACCCCCCAGGGGTACACCAGAGCACTGGCCCAGTCATGCATGCACATGTGGCCAGGCCTCCCAAAAACACCTGCATATTGACACACACTCTTTCATGGAAGAAGGGCAACTAACTGGGTTGGGGGACATCTCAGGGCAGAGATTTCATGTTGCAACACGGGGATCATGCACTCCCCACAGAGAATCCGATAAACTAAGAGAATGAACAAAAGGACTTAATGCACACTAGCCCCCCACCACCTCTAGTGCTCTTCCTTCCAGCCAGGGCCTACCAGAAGGCAAAGTCAGAGCTATGTCCTGTACCCCAACCCCGAAGAGAAGAGGCCAAGGCTGAAGGGGTCGCAGCGGTTCAGAGGGCAGAGGTGGGAAAAGTCCTGATTCACTGGAGACAGTAGCTCTAGTCTCTCATGGGAATCAGGAAATCAAGCACAGGCTTGGACCCGAGCCCAGCCAGGTCCCAAGAGGGCAGACACAGAAGTCTAAGTGATGACGCAAAGACCAAAGAGAACTCAGAGCCCATGACCGTCTTCCAGGCCCAGTACCCCCAGCATCTCGATGGTCATCCCCCTCCAGCAGTCACCTGTGCACTAGTGGTCACTTGCCCTAGATGGACGTTTCATCACATGTGGCTAGAGGAGCCCCAGTAAGCCGAATGTGGGCTGGGCTCGGGCAAGGATCGAGCAGGAAGGGTGGAGGGAAGCCACCAAAGCCACTGCCCCTCTTGGCCAGGGCCAGGGGCAGCCGTTCATCTTCAGGAGAAGGTGAGGGAGGGTCCTGGCTGTAGCTCGTCGTCCCAGATGGTGGGGCCCCTAGGTCCAAGCCCACCTTGTCTCTAGCCAGAAGTTCCCTCTGTCGCCGTCGCTGCTGACGCCGACCGATCAGAAGGAGAGTCAGGGATGCTGCAAGAACCCCCAGGAGAAAGCCGGCCAGTCCAGCCCCCACTGTGTGGGCCCGACTTGGGGGGGCCCGCTGGCTGCCCCACACCAAGCTGTAAGCAGCTACCACACGGGCCGCCCCACCCTCCTGACATTCGCAGGCATAAGCACCCATGGCGCCTGGGGTTACCACCACCTCTAGCCCATCCCGCCGAGGGGTAAGTGCAGTCACTCCACTGGGCTGGTGCCACACACAGGACGCCCATGCTGAACTTGGGGAACATGGCAAGACCACATGTGCCGCTGTAGCCACGGGAACTTCAAACACTACTGGGCGTTCTGCAGAGAGAGCAAAGACATGAAAGGTGGTAATGCTACCAGCTGGGATGTAATGTAGCAGACTGTAGCAGGATATCAGACACAAGAAGGAGCCATGGGGACTAAGATAAAATGGAGATTCCCAAAGACCATGGGTCACTGGCTGCCATACCTTCCAATTTTTAAAGTGGGTCCCAAATGGACAGTGTTCTAGCCCCTTTCACCCACTCCACCCACATTCCCCTAAACCATACAGACCTCCAGGCTCTTTGGGACACAAAGAAGAGACATCTGCTGACTCTATGTCTTGGACCAGCCTGTATAGAAGAGAATACTTGGTAAATCCAGTGTCAACATCCCCTTCTACTTTGCTCGGCACCAAAGAACATTTAGTAATGTAATGGGATCATAGCTCCCATCATTTCATAAATACTTCTGAAACTATCAGTCAACATTCTCTCTGATAGTCAAACTATCAGCCTCATCAATAAAATTTCCCCCAATACCCCTTTTGCTCCTCCTGACACTTGCCATGTCAAATTCTACACATACTTCCAGCAGACCACAGAGAATTGAATTAGCAGTAAGTCTGTTGGAAAGGTGTTTGGAGGATGCTTTAAAAAAACTCATATGAACGTTCCACGAAATGTATCTGGGTATCCACAACCACAAGATTTCTCGGGGCGGTGGGAGGGGACATAAAAACTACAGTTAACTTGTTTTCTATTAAGAGAGAAAACTTCTTTTCTATAAAAGTGAATCAAAATTCTGTGAGGGAGATGACTTTTTGTTTCATAAAAGCGGCTCACCTCTATGTAGGAACTTTCTCTCTCCAACACCTATTGATGTCTATTAGCCTCTAATGGATCTGTTTCAAACAACACAATCCTGGTACTTCCAGGATATGGGTGGACTGTGCGTGACACAGGGACAGCAGGACAGACTGTTCACTCTAAACTCCCTGTCACCACTCCCCAGAGGGAGACCTCCACCAAGCTATCTCCACTGATCTGAACACACAAAATCTCAACCAAAGATAGACTCTATTTGAGTGTGAATTCCTTGCACATGAATTAAGGCCCCTGAGATGAGCTCCAAGACTGGTATGAATACATTACAGTCTCCGGGGTAAAACCAAGGTCACTTAGTCTGGCTGAGAGTGGGGAACATGGGAAGGCCATATGAGCAGCTACAGCCACAGGAACTCCAGTCTGTTTTTCTCGCTTGTATGAATCGAGGTGTGGAGGATAGAGTGCACAGAAGTACCAACACGGTGGGGCACCTGGGTGGCTCAGTCAGTTGGGCATCTGACTCTTGATGCTCAGGTCATGATCTCAGACTCCTGGGATGGAGCCCCACACACCTTGCCTCAGGCTCTGCACTTAGTGGGGAGTTTGCTTCTCTCCTTCTCCCTCTCCCTTTGCCCCTCACCCCACTCGTGCGCATGCTCTCTCACTCTCACTCTCAAATAAATAAATCTTAAAAAAAAAAAAAAAAAGAAGTACCAACTTGGTAATTTCTTGAATTACCAAGAAATATACTAGCATATACACATACCCCACACCCCACACACACATACATCTTAAGAGGCTCAAGTACACAGGATACCCAAGAACAATGAAATTCTTATTTTAATGGGTATTAAAACAATAAAGCACTTGCCTTGTCTTAGACATTTAAAAGTTCTCCCAAGAGAAACTACCAGATCAATGTTCTTAATGAAAAACTGATTCCCAAAACAAATACTTTTACTTCTAAAATATTGGTAACCTTATGGTTCAGTAGTATGTACAAATATATTATAAATTAACTGGGCTTCAAAATAGGACATCTCAAAGTCAGTTTGAAAAAAAGTATTTTCCAAGCAATCGATTAAAAATGTTTCATTAAACAGAATCTCACCTAAAACTTAAAAGACTTAAGAAACACACCAATCAATTTCAATCGATGGACATTATTTGGATCCTAACTTAAGCAACTATCTTGAAGTATACCCAACTGAGATAACTGGAACATTGATTGGATGTCTCACGACATTAAGTTTATGGTATGATAATGATAATACGGTTTTGTCTTATTTTTAATTCCACCTGTGTTCAAGGTAATATACTACAAGATTTATGGATAAAGTGATAAGATGTTTGAGATCTGCTATAAAATAACTAGGAGTGACCAAGGGTGTTGGTGAAGCAAGATTGGTCAGGAGTTGATAGTTGTGAAGCTGAGCAAGAGATGATAGGAATTCACTGTATTATTCTACCTCTGAATGTTTGAAATTCCTTATAATAAAATGTTTTTTAAAAAGAGTCCTTATTGCGGGGGGCACCTGGGTGGCTCAGTCAGTTAAGCATCTAACTTCAGCTCAGGTCATGATCCCAGGGTCCTGGGATCGAGCCCCATGGTGGGCTCTATACTCGGCGGGGAGTCTGATTGTCCTTCTGTCCCTCCCTCCTCTCATGCTCTCTCTCTCAAATAATAAATAAAATCTTTTTAAAATTTTAAAAAGAAAAAAGAGAGAGGGAGAGTCCTTACCTGGTAGAGATACATATTGAAATATTTCAGATGAATATGATGTCAGGGATTTGCTTCAATGTGATATATAATTTTAAGCTAGCCCCTGAGGGGAAAAGAGATGGTCAGATCCCCCAATAGTCAAAAGGAAACCGATTAAGAGGTTGCCAGAGTAATCTGGTCAGGAAGCGATGATGGCGTGGACTAGGGTGAGAGCAGCAGAGAAGGGGGAAAGGGGCTGTGGACTGAGGATATGACAGATGGAGCTAGAGTCAGTACTAACTGCACGACAGCACAGGCAATTCTGGCTTGGGTGGAGCTCCCTTTTTTGCAATGATGAAAAACACAGCAAGAGCATATGAAGGAAAGAGGAAAACAATGGTGCATGCTAAGACTTGCTCAGCTTGAGTTGCTTGTGAAGGGAATATCAGGTAGGCGGTGAGACAGGGAATCCCACGGTTCAACTAAAGACACATCAGTGGTGGTCGGCGGCACTCAGTTGGTGTTGAAGATAACGGGAATGAGATCACTTAGAGAGTGTGTGGAAGTGTAAAGAGAAGGACTGAATGAACCCTGAGGAATACCAACATTCAGAAGTGGGATGGAAAAGGAGTCAGTAAGGGAGACAGACTGGTGGGGGAAGGAGGAAATCCAGGAGAATGGAGAGTCAGAGAAGGCAAGAGGCTCAAGTATCTCAAGGAAGTTAGGAGGGAGCAGTCAACGCTGCAAACACTTCTGAGAGCTCTTGTAAAATGAAAACTGAGAAGTGTGGGCAACCTGGAGGTCAGTCACACGGTCAGGGCAGGTCCAGCAGAGAGGCAAGGACATTGATGAGGCAGCACCAGATGGACAGACACACGCGCCAGTATGCACTGACAGATGGACACACAGTGACAACAGACAGAATACACACACACACAGATAGGGCAGCATTAACAGATGAGAGACATTTTTTTTTTTTAAGTAGCTCCACATGGGGGCGCCTGGGTGGCTCAATCGGTTAAGTGTCCAACTTGATTTCGGCTCAGGTCATCATCTCAGGGTTGTGAGATCCAGCCCCGCATCAGCCCTGCACTGAGCATGGAGCCTGCCTGGGATTCTCTCTCTCCGTCTCCCTCTGCCCCTCCCCCACCCTCGCCCCCTACTCACGCTCTCTAAAATTAAATTAAATTAAATTAAATTAAAATAAAGTAGGCTCCACGCCCAACATGGGGCCTGAACTCATGACCCTGAGATCAAGAGTCACACACTCTACCGACTGAGGAGCAGATGAGAAACGGACACAAACATGTGGATGGGCCGGTGCCCTGGGACAGCAGCAGGCAAGAGACGGGCGCAGCAACACTCACCCTCCATGCTCCCCAGCGTGGGCCACACATGCATCCAGCCGGAAGCTCCAGGCACAGACAGGGTCTTGGGCCAGAATGCACTCTGAGCAGCTCTGGAGACGGCCACAGTTGGTTGTGCTCACTTGTGTCACCTCAGTACGGGAGCCCACCAGGAGCCAGCTCTACAGAAAGAGAGTGAGGGAAGAAGAATACGCTGGACCTCCCAGACCCCAGCTCTGGACTCAGATGTACCCCCACCAGACTCCCCCAGATCTATAACTCACTTGATACAATTTCATACTCTCAACTGGCTGTGGCCCCGGGAATAAGGCCAGATCCTCCAGGACGCTGAGCTGGGTTCCAATCCGCACTGCTCGGTGGAGGTGTCCGTCCTCTAGGAAGCAGACAAGTGGTAAGACATAATGACAGAACTGTACCTGTGCCTGGGGACTCTGACACCTGTACGTAGGGGACCTGCTCTGTGATAGGAGCATGTGTGCACTGGATAGGCAACTCACTGAACTATTGAACATACCTGTCCCCAGGTAGAGCACATCGTACTCTTTCCCTGAGAGGCTGGTCACCCTGTGGGCCACAACTCTGAGATAGGCTGTATCCGTAGTGACGAGCAGGGGATGGTCATCCGTTGGAAACACTGGCCTGTCCATAAGGGGGTGGTCCCGGATGAAGGTGAGCACACGATCAGGCAGGGAGAGTGATGAGCCAAACTGCTGGAGCTTCATGTTGTTGTTGATGCACTAGAGGAAACACAGGGTGGGTGACAGTTTCCCAGGGGCCAGGAAGTGTCCGTGATGCTTAGTTGGGCCCTTTCTCTCCTGCGGCCATACAGGCATGAAGTGAGAAAATTCATCCCCCTCACCTCTCCAGGCCTGGGCTGGGGTACATCGTTGTCCATGACAGGCAGTCCCCTGTTGCAGTCATGTTTCAGCTCTCTGAAGGGACCACTCAGCACTGTCCGAATGTCCTGTGGCCGGAAGGCACAGACAGCAGAGATGGCCGCCCCCTCCCTGTAAGAGTCACAGGTTGGAGCCAGATATTTGGAGGGAACTAGGGAGCAGCAACTCATCCCTGTCAAATGAGAGGACCCATAAGAAATGCAGAAGGGAGCCATGCAGCCTGCTCCAGGGAGAGCCCAACCCCTCTGGAGCAGATAGCACTGATGCTGCATCCATCCCCCATATATCTCCCACCCTGTAACTCTCCCCCACACCAGGCCCCCCTCACCACTGGGAGGAAAAGATGCTGTAAAAGATGGGGGTCTCCGATCCATGCTCAGGTCGGAGAATGGCCACGTCCTGCAGGACGCTGGAGGCCCGGCCATGCTCAGGCCCTGGACATAGCAGGTCAGCCTTCAGAAATGTCGTCCATCTGTGCTGGAGGGTCTTCCGGCCCCCAAGGTCCCCCTGGGGTGACAAGCACATGGGAAGTTCTCTTTAGAACAACAACATTGTGGGAGGCATGAGGACACCAATATAGGTTTCCCCCTGTCTTCAGGGCAGACACGGACAGATGGGAAGACAGATGCACAGAAATGCAAGGATGGAGATACAGAATACTGCAGGGGATGAGATCTGGGGCTGGATGGGGTCACAGTAACAATGACGGTGACTGAGTTCATTGCGTGCTTATGAAATACCGCCCTACATGCTTTCCATAAGTCACCTTATTAAGTCCTCAAAACAACCCTTACAGCTAGAGAGCATTAATATCCTCATCTCACAGAAGAGGTTCAAAGATGCTAAAGAACCTGCCCAGAGTCACAGAGGCAGGAACTGGTGGAGCCAGGACTTGAACCCAGGACTAGCTCTCAATAGTTCCTGCCTTTGACCTCTCCACTAGTCCGCCTCCTGGGGACAATGTGTCATAAGGGTAATTATGGGGGTGAGGCCAGAGCCCTTTCCCCACACTCCCCAAGCTCCCAGAAAAGAAGTCAAGGCAGAGGGAAAAAGGAGACAGAGGAGAGATGCAAAGACAGAGGCCCAGAGAGGCAAAGACAGGACAGGCAGAGCAGAAGGGGACAGGCAAACAGAAGGGAGAGTGGTCTCACCGCACACACACGGGCCACCCGTGGGACCTTAATGCGCTCATATGAGTCAAATGCTCGGGAAGTCTCCGTAAAGAAGAAGTAGATCTCATCATCTCCGTCTTCATCCCCCCACTCGGCTGGGCTCAAGGCCACGGCTGCAGCAAAGGCTGGGGCTGGGGAAACCAGGGGCCTTAGATACCACAGACGCAGCCTGGGGCCACCCGGCCTCAGCCAGCTCTGTTCCCCAGAGCACCCTTCCCCCTCTCCCCACCGTGAAGCCAGGACGGCAAGGTCTCTGTCCGAATCCAGTCCTCGGCACGACCCACAGCCCGGGAGATAATCGGCTCCGTCCCCAAGTAGTTTCTCACAGTGGCGACATAGAGGACACCCCCTGCAGGGCGACAGGGAGGAGACGGGCTGTAAGAGATGACTGAGGGGAACAAAGGGGGTTGCAGGCAGAGCAGGGGATGACACGGGGGCAGGAACCCACAGGAGCTGAGCGCCCACTGCATGGCAGGCACCGCCAAGCACCTGACAGGCAGCATCTCACTTACAGTCAACGTAGACACAAAGGGCTCCAGGGTAGAAAAGGCCACCCATGTTAAGGGAGAACCGCCGACATGCTAATGTGCAGGAAGGAAGAATAAGGGCTGCCTTGTGAAAATCAGGCTTTGTCTGTTGGCTTGTTTGTTGTCATTGCTGTTTTAGGGCCACCTCTATCCCCTACTGTACTGATTACACCGTGACTCTCCAGGAAGGGGGTTCACTTCTCAGCATACCCTCGTCTTACTTCTGCTCTCCCACTCCGGTCTGTGTCTGAGGGAACTGGTGCTCTTTCTGACTGGGGGGTGGACACTGCTTCAGGACAAGTCACAGCTTTGGGGTATACCATCATCAATTGGGGAATTGATCAAAACACAGATTCCTGGGCCCATGGCCCAGCAACTCTCACCCAGTAGTTAGGGGATGGCCCAAGAACTAAGTTTCAAACAAGCAGTCAGAGTTACCCTCCTGTGGGTGATTCAGGACCTCACTTGGAGGAACACCAACCTGGGGGATTAATGAAAGCTGCATAGGCAGCTGGAGGAAGCAATGGGGAGGCAGAGTCTCCCTCCTGGTACAGTGCAGGGGCAGAGGTGCTCTAGGGATGGTGGGGACTGGAGAAGAGAGAAGTCCCAGACACCCGGCAGGAATGGGACGTATAGCTCTGTGGGAGGAATCTAAGACAACCACAGCCACCCTGTAACACAGACAAGGGCTCAGACACGCCTTGGAGAAAATTACTTGGGGGTAGTAGAAGGTCATGAGCCCCCCAGAGGAATTTTGAGTATCCCAGGAACTCTGGAGAGAACAGAGTGTCATTCCTTCACCACCTACTATGTCCAAGCTACTGTGCCATGTGCCTCCAAGAGCCCCCATTCGAGTCTGGAAGACAAACGTGTGCTCAGATACCAGGAGACATGGACTAGCAGATATGTGGGGGAGCACAGAGGAGAACCCAGCCACATATAACCGGGGGGAACAGCATCCAAGAGGTGACAGCTGAGCCAGGTCAGAGGAAGGAGCAATTTGCCAGGGGGCCGGGCTTCAGAGAGGAAGACAAGAGGGTGGGGAAGAGAGGAGCCATGTTCGGGGACATGGGGCACTCCCTGTGGCCGCAGCTCTGGTGCAGGGGACTGCTGGGTTAGTGAGCAGAGACGGAGCTGGAGGTGAAAAGGTGGGCACCCAACTGTGAAGAGTCTGCTCTGCCGTGCCACGGAGTGTGGACTTTATCCTACAGGTAAGAGTGAAACTGCAGATCTTCTTGAGGAAGACAGTGACATGATCAGTTTGGGGTTTTAAGACGATAATGCTAGTTATAAGGCCATTCACACGATCCAGGCAAGAGTGGAGGCCAGAACTTAGGTAGCAGCACAGGGAATAAAAGGGCTGGGGGAGAAAGAATAGAATAGAATAGAATAGAATAGAATAGAATAGAATAGAATAGCATAGAATAGCACAGAATAGCACAGAATAGCATAGAATAGCATAGAATAGCATAGAATAGCATAGAATAGAATAGAATAGAATAGAATAGAATAGAATAGAATAGAATAGAATAGAAAAGACAAGACAAGACAAGACAAGACAAGACAAGAAAAGACGGAGGGAGGGAGGGAGGAAAAATAAAAGGACTGGATTGGGGGATATTTCTGAGGCAGAAACAAGATTTGAAAACTAACTGAATATGAGATGTGAAAGAATGGAATAAAATAATGTCTTTAAGGTCTCTAGCTTATAAAATGGGTTACAGCAGAGGGTGATACTGTGAGCAAAGCCAGGAAATGATAGGAGAAGGCCCATAAAGGAAGTAGCTGGGACGTCAGATGTGGAATGTGCTAAGGTTGAAGTCCCTTCAGGACATCTGGCTGGAGACACTGGAAGGCAATCAGACAGAAGGGCCCAGGCAACAGGGCCACTCAGGCAACTTGGGAGTCAGGCTTAAGCCACACCATGAATGTGATAGCCAGGGAGAAAGAGGAAGTGAGAAAAAGGTCCCTGGGAATACCACCATTTAAGGGGGAAGGCTACTGAAGACAACTAGGAAAATCAAGTCAGAGAGGCTAGAGAAGCAAGAGAGACTGGTGTGCTAGGAGGCGGTGCAGGGGAGGCTCAGCAGGAACCATGGGGACTCATGCACCTTGAAGGAAACAGTAGAGTAGAGCCGCTTTGGGGGAAGCACGATCATCCTGGGGTCACAGATGCTTGAGCAAAGCTGCTTGTCTCAGGTACTGGAAAAATAACCACTATTTTAAAAAATACTTCATACAAAGCAAAAAAGGGTCAGAAAGCCTCTGAGGGCAGCAGCAGAGGGTTAGAAATGCTCTTGTGGGGTGGGGAGGGGAGACTATTCTATCCCTGGAGATTATAAAAAGAATCCAAGTGTTCTGTAGCTCGGAAGGCCTGGCTTTGGACCCTAAATACTTATTAGTAGTATGATCTTGGGCAAATTAGCTTCAGGTACCTCAAACATAGAATGGTGATAATACCACCCTCCACTCGGAGCAGTGCTGAGGGTTAAATGCGATACAAACACAGAACCCACGTAGGGCCTGGCGCACGGCCGCCATTTGATGCATGTGAGTTGAGGCTCCTTATGAAACCTCAGGGACCACAGGCTTGAGTTGTTGCCAGCAGGTAGGGGGAGGGGTGGGCTATAAAATGTCACCCCATTCCCTCCCAGAGTACTTCAGGAAGGAGAAAACCAGGTTGAGGGCAGGGCATAGTCTGATAGCACATGGAGCAGCAAATAAGCCAACCCTCTGTACTTCCAAGGCAGAGGGAAAAGTTGATACAAAAGCCAGAGTTACAATGAAAAATCTCCCTACGAGCATTGTACACAAAACACTCTAAAACCAAAACTCAGCAGAAACTGTGTCAATGGACACCCTGAGAATGGAGAGAGATCTGTGGAGGAGACAGTTATGAATATTTGGGAGCATGACTTGGTGGCGGGGGTGGGAGGAGCAACAAATAAATATTTTGTAAGGACCCAGCAGTGGATGGAGGTAAAAGGTCCCAAAAGTTTCTAAGGGATCAATGGGGGCAGACAGCAACTCCGGGGCCTAGAATTGCTGAAGACCACACTCACTCGGAGTGAAAGAGCAGCGGGAGGGGTCAGACACTTTGGGGGGAAGTAGCAGGGTTCCAGGTATTCCAGGAGTACCAAGGGGCTTGCAATACACACACACACACACACACACACACGCACATGCACACGCACGCGCCCCAAGAAGGAACAGCAGCATCACAGTCATGAGGACAGGAGGACACAGGATCACCACATGTCCTAGATTCTCCAGGACAGCATCAACTTCAAATATTATGTTGCATTGCTCATATAATAAAATACCCCTGTATGTGCAATCGTTGGCAAGTCAGTACTGAATGGATCAATTCAGTAAACATTAAAACACACATTTGCTATTGGCAAAAGATGACGTGCAAAAGAGAATGATGCCCAGTGCTGAATTCAGTGAGCAAACTGGTTAGAAAAAACACACCAGGTATACTATAACCCTATTTTTAAAAAAAAATACATATATGTCTGCAGACATAGGAAAGATTGGAAGGAGCTACAACTCTACAGTGTTAATGACACATTTCTGATTAATGGAATTAAAATGATTTTCATTTTCTCCTTTCTACTTTTTTGTACTCACTGAATGTTTGTTGTAGTTACCATCTTTTAAAAGCTTTTATAACCCCCCCAAATTAAGGTATTTTTCACTTTGGAAATATTGAGGGAAAAAAAAGACTGAAAGCCACAAAAGATGAAGAATCACAACCAAAGAAAAATCACAATTCTGTGTGGAAAGAGATCTCTCATCGCCCAAGTGTAAAGCCTGTGACATAGTCTTCCCAGACGTGTCAGCAACCCAACGCTGACAGCCTTGCATACTCCACGGTAGTATTTCACTCCACCCTGGGGTTCCAATTTTTCACTCTGGTATCAAAACGGTCACTTCTAAAGAAGATTTACAATAGGAATAATCATTCATTAGCTTAAAAAAAAAAAAAAAGGATTTTAAACATGCCCTGGCCTTCCTTTCTGCACTCCCTTTTCTTCACACAGTCAGAGCTTTGCAGGATAGACAGCTCCTAGCCTAATATTCTCCATTTCCTTATCTAAGGATTAGGCCAGCTACTTTTTTTTTTTTTATAACAGCCTATGATGAGGACATAATTAGATAGCTGGAGATGCAGTGTTTACTCTACCATTTCCTCTGTTGATCACATAGGATTTCTGTCTTGTTTCAGTGTGTGAATGCTAGTCTTGGGGCAAACATTCCTGAATTTAAGAGGTAGGTTTGACCCCAAAATGCTGGCAGCACCCAGTACATCTGGGACATTTGCAGTGCCTCTTGTCAGAGGCAGTAATCGCAAGATGCAATGAGATCCAACAGAGAAGATAAAACATAGGATAGATTCCCTAAGAGAAAGAATAAATACTCCCTCCTTCTGCTCTTCTCAATAAAAGCCCTATTTGTTATAGGATGTTGATAGGGAGAACCAAAGATGACTGACTGCTGTCTCCAGCTGGGTTACTTGGGAGGGTAACAGCACTGTGCACTCAGAGGAGGGGACACTGGTGGTGGAGCAGGGTTGGGGGACGTGAGTGAGGATGATGAGCTTGGTTTGGGACATGCTGATATTGAGATTTCTGTGGGACATCTATGTGGAAATGTCTGGAAGGCAGCTGGATATGTGGTCTGTAGCCCCAGATAATGTCTGGGAGGCATCAGAATGCAGTAGAAACAAATCTGTGAGGCTGGTTGAGACCACAACCACATAGAATGAGAAGACAACAGGACCTTGAGAGGGGGTCCAAGGAACGCCAACCTTGAAAGG